CACTGTCACTGTCACTGATAATGGCCTCGCTATCAGAAGACGAAGCAGTTGGTAAATCTGATAGCTCATCGGAGAACATATCTAATATTTCCTGTCCTTCGACAGATCGCAAATGCTTTCGCCTCTGAGCCATGTTGAACTGGTAGCTGCGTGGTTCATACGTGCAAGCTTGGATTAGAACAAAGCCAATTTTGTTTAGGTTGTGACAGGAAATGACTCTGGTCGAGTTACTAGATAAGGCAGCAATCATTCCCGAGGTCATCTACGCAGTAGTTACGATTCAACGAAGCCACACAGCGATATATAGCGTTTTGCAATATAACGTGACCGTAGAGGGCCATATGGCCCGCCCGGTCCGCAACGCTTGGAAACGTAGAGGGCCATATGGCCCATCTGGTCCGCAATGTGTTAAGGTCCACTTGAACCGTGTTTCACGGTTCTGTTGCGTAGGATCTTTGACCCCCCTCCCCGGCGAGTGTTTCTTCTTTCCGGATATGGTCTTTGATGGCGTATATGTCATGTGCTTTTCCCCTTCGTTTCACTTCCTTACGAGTGTTCGTGTTTGCTCGCTCTCTTTTCCTGAGTGGCCATCGGATGGGACAGTTCGCCCCTGCACTGCAAAATTCTGTTTGTTTTTTTTTTTAACTTTTTGAATGTTCTAAATTTCTGTTTTGGCCACATGGTATGGCACCATGAGGAACTGAGCCCTCGCAGGTATAGCAGGAAGGTATTTGGCTTGAGCGAGGTAATATGATTTGGGTTTACGTGTTTGGTATTACCTATAGGTAATGATTACTGCATATTTGCGTTGCGTGTGCGACTTGTAATTCTTAAGAGTGAATTTACAGATTACACAACACGTTTTTTATTATCACTACATGTTTCAACCTCAAGAGGTCATCCTCAGGTGTATGAACACGGCTGTATAATTATACGCGGTCACATTCACTTTTCACTCATTCGACCACGTATCTTATCCAGATTTACGCTCACTAATATATCGAGTTCTTTTTATAAAACACAGGTTAAAATTATTCTAATTTAATTGTTAAAAGTTAGAAGTTCGTGAATCAAAGTTCAATTCATGTCACCGGTTACACTTTCACTTGTTGTTTACAGTCTCATTTTACTTACGCTCACAACTGTGTCTAGTTCTTTTTTAACTAGTTTAATTATTATTATTATTATTGGTCAAAAGTTTGTGAATTAAAGTTCAACTTATGTTATTGGTTGCACTTTTACTTGTTTGTGAGGTCTCGCTGTTCTTCCACGTTCTCTGATGCTGCCGGATCTGTTATGATCATTGTCGTGATTAGAATAATAGAATAATAATTTTAACCTGTGTTTTATAAAAAGAACTCGATATATTAGTGAGCATAAATCTGGATAAGATACATGGTCGAATGAGTGAAAAGTGAATGTGACCGCGTGTAATTATACAGCCGTGTTCATACACCTTAGGATGACCTCTTGAGGTCGAAACATGTAGTGATAATAATAAACGTGTTGTGTAGTCAATAAATTCACTCTACTATTGATTAAACACACAACAGGATGCAAGAAACGATTAATACTTGTAATTCTGTTTCACAACTGTAGCTTTTCTTTGGGCATGGGCTGTGCTAATCATTCATTTGTTTGTATTATGTTACTTTTCTAATGCCATATCTTTTTATTATGATATAATATACATATTGTGTTATGAACTTGTGTGAGCTGTGCTTACTGATGATGTCATTCTGTCTGACAGCCCAACTAGTAATGAACTGCCTGTTTTCTGCCTGGATTTGAGTTCCCACATTAACCAGCCAATCCCAAGGCATCTTTTCTTGAGATCCCCGTGCCAACTTAGGGAGGCATATTGCACCACAGCGGCAAGCAAGTCGTTTTTATGAGCCTGTCCTTACCAGGAAGGGTAAGGGGATGGCTCACACTATTGTAAATTATTAATGCAATCTTCGCTCGTCAATAGAGATTCTAAATCATCCGCCTCTGAACTTGCAAGAACTGTCTCGGTTCTAGATGCGGTTATTTGGATAAGACAAGCAGTAAAGAAGTTGTTAGCAGAAACTGTGACACAGTGTTTCAAAAAAGCAGGATTTTCTATGGTAGAAGTTACTCCTAGTGTAGAAAATGAGAATGACCACAAGGACTGACAACATTGCATGAATGAAGCTGCTTTCAGTAACTGCAATGCTGAGGACTACATCAACATAGACAAAGATGTGCAAACAGAACCAGACACAATGGATATCTATGTAATAGTTGAGAATTTTAGAGAAAATCGAAAAGGAAGAGAGGTGGAGGAGGAAGAGGAAGAAGAGAAAAATGACATTGTGACAGAAGAAGAAAAGTGTAGATTGAAGATTAATCAAGAAGCTGCCAATAGTTTGAAGGTATTGCAGGAGTCTGCCGTGCAACGGAATGATTCAGACATGCTTACTCTAATTTCTCAAGCTAAAGTGTCTGTGGAAAGTCAGGCAGCCAAGAGAGTAAACTGCATGCAAAAAACTCTGCCGGAGTTCTGGTAAAATTATAAAAAGTGAGTACTGCAATTTTTTCCTGTTCAGTGTAATGTTTGCATCTGTTCAATGATTACAGTGTGAATAAATTAATAAGCATGTTGTTTTGTTTCGTCTCAAATACGTTATGTCCTGGTTTAGTTATTATAGTATACCTTGATTAAATGGAAACCTGGCTTCAGCGGAAATTTTTTCTGGTCCCTTGAGATTCGGTTTCAGACAGGTTTTACTGTATAATTTTCTTTGAATAAACGTTAAGACATAAAATTTTTTGAGTATTTTTTCGGTATGGAACGCATTATCGTATTTTACATTAATTTACATGGGAAAAATTGTTTCGCTTAACGAGTGTTTCACATTACGAGTAAGATTCTGGAACGAATTATGCTCGTTAAGCGAGGTTCCACTGTACATCATTTTCTATTATACGCCAGTTGGTCTGCCAATATTGTGCATTTCTTAAACGTAATTTGTATAGTTGATTGTTGATATTTTGTTTCTTAATATATAAGTATTTTAATTCGTTATTTATTCTAAGTTTGGTTAATTGTTTTTGAGCTAGCTTTATAGCATTACTTGTCCCTTTTAAGTTTAGGTTGTTGGAATACTTAGGTAAGATGTTTTTGTTTTGACAAGTTTGATTGAACCATATATGTGCATTGGTTCTTAGTAGTTTCCTTTTTGTATTGATGTATTGATTTACCAGTTTAGCTTGACTAGCTTCTATGATTTTGATTTGTTTCATTCTGGTCCATCACACTAACAATTACAAAGACAAAAACAACTCCGTCCAGTGTGACTATTTAAGTTTTACCATTTGAAAACTTGTTTCTGTCTTTGTAATTGTTAGTGTGATGGACCAGAATGAAACAAATCAAAATCTTTATAGTCTTTTGACATTTTCTATAGTAGTTCACACAGATGTCAGTATTATTAAAATTTGGTATCCAAAACTACCTTTTTAAATCTTCCTGCATTTTGCAAAATGGCATGAGAGAGGTTGGAAATAAAGATGGCAAAGGGTTAACAGTAAGCCTTGGTTTTGTTTTCACCAATGATGCACTGTTATAAATAGATTCAAAGAGAAACTTTGATATAAAGATATCAAACTAACCTTTTAATGTTTCTGTATTTCCAGCAAGTTCTAGCTGAGCATTTCTCAATTTCAAAACCTGATTTTCAAGTTCCAAAGCCTTTAGAACACCTGAAAAAACAGAACATGAACATTAAATACCTTTTATAAAAGAGAATCACACAATAAAGGCCAGAAAACAGTATAACGAGCTTTGAAGTTTCTCTTTTAAAGGAAAGACCATAAAATGAATAATGCATGGGAACCTCTACCAGAAACAACTTGGGCCTTTCTTACCAAACAATGAAACTGGACAATATTTTTTAACCTCATAATACTGGAATTTTGTTAAGATGAATAAAGCAATGATGAGATGGGTAGAGAGTGGTGGCACATGTTGTTCAGATTCTCATGCCATAACACCTTCTGTGGGAGTTGTGACTTGGTGGCTTGGTTGCCATGCGATTCCCTTGGAACCCCAAAGCAGCAGAAGCCAGACACAAGGATATCTGCTGCCATCAAAGCCTTTTGGTTAGGGATGGCATATACCTCTGGTCACTTTGGTGATGTACTCCGCGTCAATGAGGATATATCGAATACCCCTCTTGCTTTCCAGAAAGGGTCCTGCGATGTTGATAACAATTCTCTTCAACAGTAACCCAACATTATATTGCCTCATTCTACCCTTGCTCTGGGTTCACAGCCCTTGATTTGCTGCAAAGACATCATATCGTTGACACCACCTCTCAATGTTGCTCCTCACATGCGGCCAGAACTACACCTGTATAAATATGTCAGGGGTTTTGTTAATATCCAGCTGCCCTCCTGAAGATCCTCCATGGGGCTCTATGGTACTTCTTTCACACTGTTCTAGAAAAGAGCTATTTGGACTGTCTTGAGCTATCTGTCAGCCAACTGCCAGTGGCACTCCAGCAAAGTGTCTCTCACTGCTAGGGAGCTCCACTGAGCCCAGTAACTTACTGACTGGACTGTGGACAGTGATGTCCTTCCACCTGGGACATTGTCCAGCCTCTACTTCCTGTAGAACTAGCACCATGTAGTTATCCAGATGCTAACTCTGCAGGGTGGCATGGTACCAGATGTCCGCAGTGGCAGCACTAATACCCTGTACTATCAGGCTGCTTGACTACAGCTGAAGATTCTGGTACTAACGGCAAGCTGCTGTCCTTCCTGGAAGGAAATCTTAAAATTTGGTCCCACTATGCTGTTTGCCACCTCCATGTGAATCTCCAACCATGCAGACACAACTCTCTCTCAAAGTGAGCCAGTATCACCTTACCGCTGGCCAACATAAGAAGGGAACATTATGGTTCATACATCTCTTCTTGATTCAGTCAGAGCACATGGTGCTAGAAGTTCACCAATGTGTTGTAAACTTACAAGACATTCAGCCCTTGGNCCCAACCCAAACAGCTCCAGCAGCAGCAGCACCACCACCAAGACTTTGTGGTCTCCATAAAATACCAGGATCATACATAAAAAGAACTGAAACCAGCATCATGTGTAAAACTTTCCTGTTTCTTGTAACCATGCTCTGCCAGCCATATTAGGGCACTTGTAGTTGCTCTTAGGTTGTTGGTAGTTGATGTTCCTTATCAGTTGCCTTTCAACAGCACATCTACACATGTCAATTTTACATTACTGAAACATGTTGGTAAGTAACACAGCACTTGAGTGGAAGTCTGAAAAGAAGAAACTACAGAAGGGAATATATTTATCAGTTGGATTTTTAGTCTGTCATGGCATTGTTGTTGCAGATGAGTGCAAGGAAATCGCAACACATGTCCTGTGCATAGAAGGTACAATCAAATTAGCTTCCTGTGGAGATATGTGGCTTGGTGATGGTAACAAGGTCTTTTCCCCTATCCAGCCCTCAGTGATTAAGATGCTGTCACTCCTCCTCAATAATCTCGGCGTTAAATTTTCTCCATTTAAAATTTTCCTCAGTTCAGTGCTCCAATCCACTACTTGCCAAAGAAACCTTAAATGGGGGTTACAATAGTTGTTTCAACATCTGCTAGTGGATGTGTTGTTCACGAATGGTGGCCTGTTACTAACTCTCACCATGTATGAGCTCCTGCTGCTCAGGATCACCCAGTTTGTGGATGATGGCCATGATATCTGCAGTCAAGTGCTTTCCATCTAACTGTAGCTTCTTCATGTTCATCTCTACCTCTCGACTCTGAAAAACAAGCATACTGTATGTTCATACACACCTACTCAATCTGTCTCAAACAGGGAAGACTGGACATTATATACTTTTGGTACTTCTGTCAAGATGTTACCCCTAGGGGTTGCATAGGCAATTAACAGTAATCTGGAATAACTGAGAATTATATGGGAAGCTGTTACTTTTCACACATAAAAGCCTGAATACATATAAGCTCAATAATGAAAGTGGGAAGACTACTCCAACTTGGGGCATGCCCATTTTCCAAATACATGCTTTCCAACTTCACATATCTTTATGGTCTTTTTATTCATTTACTGCCAATACAAATCTATTCTTACAAAACTAATCACACAACAGAAACCACATATATAATGAAACACAACTTTTCCCTGAATGTTGTTAAATAATCATCTTTCTGAGAAAAGTTTCAAATAAAAGTTGTGTCTTAATGCACTCTTATATTTTGCATTGCATAAAGGCTGATTTAGAGAAAAATAATACAGTTTGATTTCTGCTTCAAGCAGAGTAACCAACAAATATCATGTCAAAAACAGTCAGGCTTGTGCCTGGGGCATTTTGAACAGTAACGAAAACAAAATAAATTCATCTTCCTAGGGCAACCACATAAACGTGCAGCTATGGAATGCCATTAATTGCCATAAAACAGACAAATGAGCGGTTGTTTTGCTTTCAGTTCATATTATGTGAGAGTAACATGGTAGACATGAGCACAGTACTGATTGGGGATGACTTGTAGATGAGCAGAGTTGTCTTTAAAGAGAATCATATGTAAGGATAACTGTAGGAAGATGAGTGTTGCAAAACTGTTATAAGTATCTACTCTAAGGGCATATGAAGAGAAACCACAAAAAAAAAATGCCTGGTTCATAAAGCTGGACATACAGATCACACAATGTATTGATAAAGGTTTGGATATTCACACAAATGCAGCAAAATATCCACTGAAAGCAAACCCCACAACATGTTCATGTGCTTTCAAACATCCTTAGTCACAAACTAAAGAATTTTACATAGAATAACACAAAATGAATTCTTCTGTTAACAATGGTCATCAATAACAGGAGAGGGGTAAAAAGATCTCTGACATCTCGCAGTTCACCGCATCATTATTTAGACGAGGCAGTGTCCTGTCTTGCAAGCTTTCTTTTCAGAGCTCCCTTCATTGCCTCAATATGACCCATGCCTTCAAACTACCTTTTCAACCAGGGCATATTTTCACTGAAAAGATGGCATGACAAGGCTGTAACAGAATGCTTCTTCTTTATTGCACTTTGGAACATTGGAAACATGTTCTGTGAATCACTAATTACATGTCATATACTAGTATATCTCACATGCACACATACATATGGGTAAATATACTTGAACTATTAACAGTATTTCAGTTACATGAGGCACTGCCCCAAAAGGCCTAATAGGCAAGCTACCATCAACATCACATTCCAAGAAAATCCATTTAACAGATTGGAGATGAAACATGTAGACATACCACCAGTATTGAATTGTTTAATGAAGTAATACAGCACTGCACCTTTTCTCCCATTTGGATGATCCGGTTCACCATATCCTGTCGAGCTCTAAGCAATTCAGTCTTCTGAACTCCAGATTCCTGCAACAGCTGCCATCTTGTTTGCTCCACTTCCCCTCGGATTTCACTGGTGTTCACCTGAAAACAGCACACATCAGTTAATGGAATAGTCTTTCTTGAGAAGTTGATAGTCATTCAAATAGTGAAGAACTTCCCAATCTTTTACTTTTACAGAACCTGAAGTTTCAATACTGTGCTCATATTAGCCCAGCTTCAGACCCTACACACAGTATTCTTCTATGAATACAAAAATGTAATGTAATAGTGAGATCAACGCTCTTAAATTAAGCAATTTTGGTTTACCACAGCAATGAATTTTGAGCACTAACATGCACAAATGCATGCAGTAGGTCATGATCAACTGAGCACTCTTTAATTCCAGTCTATTCTGTGAGTACTAATAATATTTTTATGTGTACATGTGAAATATCATACAATATAAAGGAGTTCTTTTACTATTATTTTTACTATTCACCAATCATTAACCTCAGCATATTATTCAATAACAGTAAATAGAGGTGAAAACAGGGGAAGCTAATAGTATGAAAGTTTACATAAGAAAAAATGAGACTTCCCCTTAAATTCTTAGTTGGTGTTACACTAGTTTACTCCGCATAAGGTCCACTTTAATATTATTCCCTCATCTATACCTAGATCTCCCAGTCTCTTTTCTTCAGGTTATGGCTAATTATGTGCATGAAGTCCATACTTCCCCCATTTTGCCACATAACCCAGCCAACTTATCCCTTGTGCACTCTCATGATTATTTTATAATTCAACAAAAGCACTGGATCAGTAATGTGAAGCCTGTTTTGACATGCTGTATACAATGCTGGGAGGGGTATGGGGGGGGGGGAAGCCACCTGGAACACCAAGAACTAAACCTGAATTTCAGGTAACAGTGATAACACAGGTTTAAAATCTTGATACTGCAGTTGCAGTTGGAGAGGCAGGTAAGGATTTTAACATGCATGTAATAAAATTCGAAGGTTCATCAGAAACCAACGTTCTGAAAGTTTTTTTGAAACTATAAACTGCAGGATGGATAAAAACCGGGATTATTAATGCTGAACATGATCCACCAACATCTCTGCTAGGTCTTGTTCCCTTGTCTCAGATTATTTCACACTGTCAACTGAAATCAGTTTCCCAGTACTAAGTGAGAATTATATGATCACATGAATAATGAGATGAAAAATGTAGAAGTAACCCTGACTTCTTCAAAGTACTTTTCCCAGATCTTACCTGTAGGGTCTGAGGAAAAAATGTAAGAAAAACATCTGCCAATCTACTGTCAGGTTTGGGTACCGCCTGAATTTTTTTCTTTTAATTTTTTTATGAACATTTTTCCTTTAACACTTCAGTGTGAGAGCATATCATCACTGGGCCAGAAAGCGCGATGAGCGAGCAATATTTAAGGGTATTTAAATTTCACTCAAGGAAGGGTAAAAATGACAAGCATTCTGAATGGTTAACTTCCCAGTGCACTATAAATTATAAATATGCATTTTACATTACTCAGACATGCTGCTTTGTCTGGCAGGCCTCAAAATACCCATAAATGCACAGAGCAACATCACAGTCCTGACAACAGTACACAGCTTCCCTCCTTTTCTCACGCTTGCTGCAGACCACCCACTGTCCTGTGACTTAGATCTCTTTCTTATGGGAAGTAGTCTTTGGAGAGAGAGAGAGAGAGAAAAAAAGGAATATTTTACATCCACTGGTAGCCAACAATCACTCCATTAGCTATAAAGGATGGCTCACAAATAAAAGTGGTTCAGCTGGCTATCTGGAGTGCACCTATTTGGAACTCATGAAAACTATTTCCAGTAAAGATCATACTTGTTAGTACATGCCAGCGACGCAGGTCGGGGTTTGTCTTGCACATGCTGAAAGACATTTCCATCCCTATAAAACAATATCAGCCTGACTACAATATCTCTGAAAGTACTGTAATATAAAATAATCACTTAACACTGAGCACTGTGAGAAAACTTGTTGTTCCAAAGCACATGACATGGACAGTCTTACAAACATACTCAGCATACGTTCTATTAATTTATAGCTACCTGAACTTGTAATGTTTACTAATTTGTTCATTTATCAATTTTTCAATTGCACTGATTAAAATGGGACTAAACAGAATAATGAAATGGGAAGTATACATGGTGTGGTTTATTTTAATGCAATTCCCCAGTATGTTCCTATTGCGATTAAGGAAAACCATGAAAAAATATCAAAGTTAGGACAGACAGCCTTTAGGCCAAGAAATGAATTTGGGACCAGCAGAAAATGATGCTAACCAATGAGCTGTAATATTCAGAAGTCTGTAGTGCAGACTGATTACCTGTGAGTCACTGAGGTGGTCCAACATCTGCTGATGAACTTTCAGCAGTTCTTTCTCAAGTTCCTCAATCCTGTGTTCAGCAGCTGTGGATGAAACAATATTAAGTGTCATGCGAAAGAACAGATAACCACCCTCAACACTTCCCAAGCAGTAAGTTACAAGATATCCCACTTAAAACACTGATCACCTGCTCTAAAAAATGCTGGTGTTTAGCAAAGTCAGAGGACATATCTCTCTTGCTGTTGCTCTAAAAAATGCTGGTGTTTAGCAAAGTCAGAGGACATATCTCTCTTGCTGTGTCTTTAACAATTCAAACTATATATAAATACTAGCTGTACCCGGCCACGTGTTGCTGTGGCAGATCAAGTGAACTGCTTCCGCTCCGCGAGTATGATGACCTAAGCTTGATCTTCTGCGAGGCATTATTTGGATGAACTAAAGCAGATTGATTGCACTGAAGAAGAAGAAGAAGAAGAAGAAGAAGAAAAAGAAAGAAAGAAAGTTATAACAAAAACATATAAAATTGCAAAACATGAAAAAAAGGAAAGAACACGAACTGGAAAAGAAACAAAAAAATAAAAAATACTAACGAAATATTTCAATTGAAACGCAGATCAATCGACACAGCTCACTCCCACCGCCAAGTGCACTGAAAAATATGAAGAACAGTTAAGAAAACGAAAAGAAAAAAATGAAAAATAAACTATACTCACGAAATGAACGACGTATAACACGTTACAGTATATTAATACTGAGTACAATTAATATTTTAACAACCAACCAACCTGTCACAGGTGAGACATATGTCACACATGATTTTAACATCATAAAGTCTTAAAATACATTTTTAGTGAGTGACATATTCTTGATGTCTTTTAAATTGTTGCATTATTTACGTGTACTTTGATAATAAGAATATATCGCCTGTTACCTATGTGACGTTGTTGTGGTCACGTGTCTCCTATTCAGTGCGACAAATAACTTCCACGTATGTCTCGGATTCAGCGAAGTTATTGAACGCTCACTTTTACACCAGCGAGTACAATTATTATCACATCCAGTATCACCAAAAAACTCTTCGGAGCTGGACTGTTATAACCTGGTTTCAGACACAATAGAGGGCACTTTCACCCAGGGTTCGATTTCATGTGTTCTGTGCTCGTTGCCGTGGTCATTCCTAGGCAACGATCTGTTGGTATTCGATGGACGACAGAACACCTTGTAGAAGTGTTTGGTTTCATCCGATGTCATGCAACGGAACCACTTATCCTCTCATCTCCGGGGAAATGCGTTTGTTGTTGTGGCAATTCCTATGCAAAGTCCCACTGTTATTGCGTTTCCATGGAAGTATACTTTCCGGTTTCATCCACTGTTACGCAACGGAATCTCTTATCCTATGCAACTGTTCTAGCGTTACTATGGAAACGACTGCTGGATTCGGAACATGTGACATGTTTTTACCTGTCACAGGTGTGACATCTATATAATATGTACATAAAAACGCGCGTATTCGAATGCAACGTTGTGTCAAAATTGCAAAGCAAGCGGTGAAGAACTTTTGGAGATTTTCGTACAGGGACAAACGAACATTTACATTTTTATTTATATAGATAAATATATACATATATGAAACGTTTCACCACTACAAATTATATACTTAAAGGAACTAACACACAGAAGGTATAATTACATGAACTATAAAGATAATAAGTGAGCCCTGAAGGTTTTATGGTCAGGAGAAAGAGGTAATGAAAGTCTGTTACTAAAATACTTCACTACAACTGCTACTTTTATGGCAAAGGGCAAGAGTCCTACATTCTATGGCTGTCAGGGTCCATTTTGGCATTTATGTGAACTGTTAAGCGAAAGCTAAAGATGTACGTGCATTACCATTCAATTGTTCCCGTAACACTCCTGTATTTTCATCTCTAGTCTGTGCCAGCTGGTCAGTAGCAGCTCTTAACTGGCTGCGAAGCTGTTCAAGTTCACTCAACTCAGATCCTGTTCGCTTCTCAGACTCGTTCTCAAGCTGCTCCGAGAGTTTTTGCACTTGTTTCTCCAAGTAAACACACCTTGAGCTGACCTACATAAACAAAAATTTAAACTTACTTTAGAACTTAAATTACTCTGAATCTAGTGCTGTCTACCATGGTCTAATGAAACCAGTGGTACTACCAATAATATGAAGACATGATAAAACCAGGTGTTAAGAGAGTGAAACTTAACGACACATGCTGGATGGACAATCTGTCATAGAGGAGGCCAAGGTTCTCAGAGGACCAAAGGGCCAAGAAGGAAGTGAGACTATTATCTGTTCTATGCAGTGTGAGACATATGATACCCGTCCTCAGCAATCTCATTGTTGTTTTACCGATCCCCCATGAATCAGAAAATGTTTGGAATCAGTGCTCCAATATGTCTTTTCTTCAATTACTCCACTTCAATTCAAGTGTTACTATTTCCTTAAGAACTATAACTTTGTCTCAAAAGTGACCTCTTGTTACTAATCTTCCAACCAATATGATATCCATTATCAAAACTATGTGTCCAACCTATTCAGCCTGCCAGATTTAATAACCCCAACAGTACATGGTAATGACTGCAAACATGAAGTTCCTTGTTATAACACTTTCTCATGTTCCACTCTGTGTTCAAAATGTAAAACAAGAGTAACAGGAAGCTAACATTTTTCATATATGGGCCATAATGATCAATACTCTAAACGTTAAGTAATTTCTGATTCACAAAATTGGGTCAGTACAAACTAGCATTAAGTGAAGCAGTGTGATGTGGAGCCTTAGAACACGGTACACCAGAGTCAAGCTGCTCACACAAATACCAATGTCCCATTAAACCCTTCACGATCCCCAAATTAAATCAAACCCAACTGGTTTACTTCTAGAAGTTATAATAAATTCAACTTACTTGCTGTTTCTCTGTTTTGAGGTTTTCAAGCTCCTCCGTGAACACCACCAAAAGTTTTGATTTCTCTCTGAGTTCATCTTTTGCACTTTGTAACACATCCAGAAAGCTCTCAGGACTATTTGACATCGTGCCTGCAATGGGAAGATGTGTTACAATTTTAAAACTAAAAGGTACATCCATTCCATTCAAACAGTATAGTATTAAGGAAATGGCCACATAAATTAATTTCCAATGAGTAGCCGAACATATATATAAAGATAGAAAAGACACACAATCCGAATGGAATCGAACTCTTTGAAAGAAACCATTAGGGAGACCTAGGCATAAGAGGGATGACAAAAAAATAAATACAATTATTGACTTTCCGGATATTCTCCATTGTCCTGTGCAGCGAGTTAATAACTGCACACATAGTAACATACTATCATCATAATCTTTCAAATATTAAATTGCAGAGATGTAAACTGGACTGCTCAGTACAGGTTGCAAGGTCAGGCTTCTGTGATAACAGTGGTGAATCTTCAGGGTTTGTAACTGGGAATAAGAGCTGAACAAGCACCAGATACTCAAGGATGAACCTACAGTATGAAGGTTAATTCCCTACAGTAATGTCGATATCAATGTCACCACATTGCAGTACTATTAAAAGCCTCTTTATCTGCTCATTACAGTATGATTAAGGGTAGAACAGGGAACTCAAATACACTGTGTAATGCAGTATTACATATACAAGCTCATCTGCACTATTTTCCTGGTTGGAAACGAGGTATAGCAAGAAAATAGTGAAAAAATACCACAGTATACAAACGTCTCTTCTTCTTCACTTCAGGATAGAGCAATCAAGCCTGTTCTGGCTTCATACACTCATTCCTTCTTTTACATGGTGTTCCTTTTGGTTCATAGTGCATACCTGTTTTGGTATTCTGTCATTATTCATTATGCACAGATGGTTTATCAGTTCCATCTGCATTCATCTACTTTATTAAGAACTGGTTGTATTTTCAGTTCCTTCCCAATTAAGTTCATTCTTAATATGGCCTAGTCTGCTGCAGCCTTTTAACTGACAAAATATCTCTGTGATGGTCATTCTGTTTACTACGTCACTTGTTTTAATTGCAAAAGACTCACTTCCATATAGCAAGGTAGGCAGTGCTACTACTTTATGTGTCATGTCACTCCTAATAAACTAAAATGAGATGACTGCTCTAATACATTACTACCAGTAATTTTATAAATGTATAATCCTATAGACTGTGCTTCCTCCCAGCATACTGGGTGCAAGAGGGAGAGACAAACTACGTTTCTCTGACCTATACAAGGAAAAAATATGAAGTTTTCCTTGTGCTTAAATAATTATGCAGTATGTCATAAAGACATATGGGGGAATGGAGGTACAGTTCCATCATTCTTGACCTCAGCACTAGATGGAGATGAGTGATCAGCTTCATGCTGCAGTTGTAACCTTCAACTGACATGTCCTTCAAAGCTAGGTTTCCAATGTTTTCAAAAGTTCTTGGGAAGGGACAGAGAGGCAGCATGTCTCACCATATATGTGGAGTTTCCTTTCAGAAACAAGCATGAAAATGATGAATTATTTGAGAACATTACAAGTTCTAACTTGCCATGTGTTAAAGCAGGTCATGTGTACACACTTCCTCCATGAGTCAACAACATTATTTGAACAGAAAGTTATGTTCTACACAAGTGTTAGCTGGAAGGTGGCTGACTGAATGCTAAACAAGCAGCATATGCTACAGGACGGTTTAACAATATTTTGTTCTACGGAATTCCCTTTCAGAAAATATACACAGTTTTACAAGTCACAATGATATACAACATACTGATTCCACATCAAAACCACTTCATTACATAACATAGAAATGACAGAACTCTTCAAAGTACATATCATGCAAATCTCTGAAACAACTGAAACCTCAACACATTTCTCCCAGCCCAATTTCTATTATCATACAGCTCATACCCCTGAAAAAACACCCTCAAAGTTGAAGGCCATATTTGTTGTTTTGGGATTTTCTGCTCCTCCCCTTACAAGAGGCAAAGAACAGAGAAAAGGAAATACAATACAAATGAAACAAAGAAAGAAGACAGTTCATTCCTCTATGAAAAATAAATACTGCTGCTGAAGTAATGTATATCATCATCAGTAGTTAAAAATTTCCCATAAAGGCTAATTAAAAAAATCAAAACTTCAGCTGCTCTCTGTTATGGGAACACTGCTATAAGCAATTCTTATGCATCATACCTGATCAGACGTTATCAATATTACATTGGCTATGTTAATCTAATCACACTTCCTGCAACTATTTTCCAGTATTTAAGCACAAGTTATGCCACAGACAACAAAGTTATACATAATATTCCAAATGAAGACTACATTTAAACAAGTCAAGCAATTAGCTTTTTTTTTTTTCTTCGGCACTACAGCCCCAGTGGGCCTAGGCCTACCTCCATGAACTTCTCCGTTCACTTCGGTTTTTCTAGATCTTACACATTCGGTAGGACTCCTTGGGCGGGTGATCAGCTCGTCGCAAGGCCTCTACGTGTACACAAACACAGAAAAACGCACACACACAAACTAAACATCCATGCCCTGAGTGGGATTCGAACCCATGATCCCGTTTTCCAAGCGAGCGAAGACAGTACATACTTTAGACCGCTCGGCTACTGTGACCGGCAAGCAATTAGCTTACAAATGTATTTACTAGTTTGACAGATCAGGATGAACCAAGTTTTATTTTCAGAAATTTACCAAACTCACTAGATTTGGTTACATATTCCTGGCTCAGTAAAGTACACCACAGCTCACAAAGCTGAACATCAACTTCTGACTACACAAGCCCAGGTTTAGTCCTTGAAAAGCTTGGACAGTATTTGCGTGGAAGAAAGTGCATTAAGGCAGGCTTTTCGCACCATATTTCAATTTCTTCAAGAGTAAGAAGGTCACTGCAGGTCAGCAAAATATCCATTCTGTCATTTTACCCTAGCATAATTGGCAATTCCATATGATGGTTGTTCAGGTCAGGATCATCCTGATAGTTGATTTAATGGTAAGAGGATTTGTGAATGAGTTGAAACAGATTTAAAAGCAAGCAGCTGTGATATGCATTAGGTATTATGCCATCATCTGTCTGGAGGAATTAAGGGAAACAACGAAAAACTGGGTCAGGACCAGGTCGAGGTTAAAATTAGAACCTAGGACTTCTAGAATATAAAGGAACACTAAGAAAAGTCAAAGTTTTGGAATCAGAATGGTTAAATCTGTCAATTTATGCTATTTGCACTCACCACATTTTGCCACATTATATAAAAGCAGACCATCACAGTTGGTCACAAATGAGTAAAGAGTCTTTTATTTTAATATAACGTTTCCATTTTGTGAATGTCGATAATTTATGTGAAGTGCATTTCGTCTTTATCATTGAATGTGGATTACATTATAAAAATCTGTGTGATTCTTTTTTTCAAAACAGGCACTTAAAGACGTGTAAGCACACACCAGTTCACTAAAATTGTATCTGACAGCTCTAATTTGAGTTCAATAGGCTAGCACAATTCAACACTTAAAATGTAGAGGGATATGTACATATTATGATAGTAGTATATGCTCATGAAATCATTTCAATTCACATCTCTATGAAGATTGTAAGTCATGCCATATTTGAGTATGTCTATGCTTCCTGTTAATTTGCAAGTAAATAATGGTTTAGCTGTAGTGCATTTTAGTCACCTTGATACTTAGGAAATAAACAGGGAATATATGACATCAAACTGCTCTGGGAAATATCTCTCTTCATCTTTTGCAGTCTATACTTGTAGGTTGTACATTCAGGCAGGTTTCAATTTGTCCATCTTGATTCTTCACTAATGTGGTCATCATCACTCCTTAGGTACAAAATTACTTTACTAATGCAATGCGTAGAATAAACTGAAGACACATTCTCTCCAGACATTTCCTTAATGAATCAGATTGTGCTTCCACGCTGATCTGCATCAGCAACAGTATTCCCCATATATGGATGCATTAAATCACTGCTTATTATAACAAACCCCTACATTGCATATTCCCTTCTAAATATTTTCAGAGTAAGGCACAGCCTTTCCTAGAACTAGGCAGGGCCATAACAAATATAATTTATTTCTTAATATTTTCGATTTCTTGTTTGCACCAATGGGTTGTGAAGCGCAGGTAGCATTTTTCAGCAAAACTGTGTTTGTTACCACACATACTGTTTATCTTGTACAGCTAATACTGCATTACAAATGACTAACTGTAATATGTACCAGTTCCATTTGTCTTTCTACTCTTGCGAAATCATGACGAAATCTGTTACAGTATTCAACTGAGATGCTGAAATGTATATCTTTACGTGTTTTTCCGTATTATAAATATGTGAAAAATAAATAATTTAAATCATGTAAAAGAATATTTTGCCTAAGTATCCTGATCTTTAAGTTCCATCTTCATAAACGATTTTCAAACTGATTACAAAAATGTATTCAACTGGACCTTTCTCAGACAAGGAATACACCATGAAAAGGTCTATTTTGTGGGATATAATTCTGAGTAGTCAGTACATTTAGAGCCAGTCTCTTAGTTTCCTTTGGCCATGCATGGACAGCCAGGGACTTAGAACACTGGGAGTATACAGCATCCCTTGTGAGTGTGGTCATTTCCAAACTGGCTTTCGAGCAACACAAGGCTGAAGGAGCACCATGAATATGTATGGCCAGAACACTCCAACAGATCAGCCAAGGCACAGCACCACACCCACCTCCAAAACACCAGCATCCTCTCCACGAAACCCATGGATGATACGAGAATGAGCAGGGAGGTGACTAACACTGAGTTCCATTTCAATAGTACGGACATGGAAGATGGTATCTGCTTTAGGAAATCATGGAAACCTCTTGTCTCCTCAATGAATGACTGTAAGAAGCCTCCCTCACCGAATCCTCTAGTTGGGTTCTCCAATGGGTCACAGAGGTCCATGAACACTACCCTTACAGGGTACCATTCTTTCCCTCTCCAGATACTCGTCAACCCTGGGCCTTTCTTTCCTTCCCAGCCTCTCTCCACTGTCCTTGCTCTTCTTATGACTGACGACATGCCTACAACCCACGGACCCAAGTTTTCTCCCACCTTCCTTAGTTCTCTGCACATGCACACACGAGTTGCAGGAGTTAAGGTCTAAGGCCCCCATGGGAACATGGCAACAAAGGATGAAGCATTGCTGGACTGGGTCAGCATGCTGGCAGTGAGTGGAGAGCGTACATCTCAGAAGAGACTACTGGCAGAGATGTGACAGGGGGCCTGATCACAGTTCAAAAACTGAGTAAGAGCCAGCACAAGGTGGAAGCCGCCTGTGCCATCATCTTCAGTCTCTTGTTCCACTCTCAACTCAGCCAAGACGAGTGACTGCAGCACTGCCCACAGAAGAGCCAAGGTCATACGTTCAGAAAATGATGAACACCAGGGAGACTTCAAATTTCCTGAAGGAGGTGCTGGTGGATCTAATTTTGCAGAAAACGAAGTTACTTCCTCCTGATGCGCTGGGCATCCTGTGAGCTTAAGACACAACAGTGGATGTCAAGCATCGCGTGCTAAGACTGGGTCAGTAAGAGATGTATTTACAGCATCCTGCAGCAAGATCACCCTCCATATAAGCAGTGAAGTGATACTGGCTCAGTTGGATGTTCATCTGCAGATGATGGCCAGCCTAGTGCGATGAAGTTCAAAGACCTCCCATTGACGACTGTACATAGCAAGGATGGTTGTTCAAGCTGAAGCTGTCAGGGTGGCTGAACACTGCCAAGGGTGGCAGCACTCCCAACACAGACGCACTACCCATAAGACCTGTCTGAAGGCACACTGTCACTGCAAGACAGTTGAATGACAGGAAGAAGCCTGAAAGTTTGATACATTGCTGGTGCCACAGTAGATGGCTGGGGCTCAGGAAGCAGCAGCTGGGTGACATGGAGCCAATTCTACAGGAACTAGAGGCTGGACAGTAACCTGAATAGAAGGATACTGTTGACAACAGAGACAGCTGCACATGACACAATAAGTAAGGCTACCCATCGCCATAAGACATATGGGCACATATCCCAAAAATTTAACTTATGAATGTAAGCGCAACACTTTTAGACACACCTGAAGATGGCCAATGTTGGTTGAAACATGTAGTGTGCATACATCGGTGATGCAGAAGAGATCTTAATGTTCAAAACTTTCAAAAGTCTTAAAAAGCAAGTTGCATGTGAGATGGCTAAAAGGAATAACTACAAGAGGTATTGGGCTCAATGGAACTCCTTGTTAGTGAGACACAACGTGCTAGAACGCCACTGCCAATGGCCAGTGCAAGACAGTCCAAGTATTTCTTCCCCTGAGAAAGGTGGAGGAGGTACAGGGATAGATCCATGGAAGATCTTCGAGAGGACATTTAACTTTTAACAAAACCTGAACAAGGTACCTCCTGACAGACATGGACTACTTCATCAGGTGGCCGGGGGTATACGTCATTCCTTCCCATGAGGCATCAACGGTGGAGGATGTTCCAGTGGCTAACTTCTTCTGCTGCTTTGTGGGTTCAAGGAAACTGTACAGTGACAAAGGCCAGAATTTGAGTCATGATTCCCACAGCACATGTTCTGGCACCTGGGAATCGGCAAGACATACATCATTCCTCTGCATCCACGTTTGAAGCATGGTGGAATAACACAAAGACAGTGGAAAGGCATATAAAGAAGGTCGTAAACGCTGAAACACGTGTGAGCGAGAACGAATTTACATGCACCAACACAGGAACTGTTGCAATCGATGTTTTCTGTGTGGTCCGTGCCAAGGCTAAATAGCGGAAACCAAGAGCTGATCCCCATTCCCGGGACTAGCGCCGCGTGGAGGCGGGTTCGAATACCTCCACCGTAGCCTTGCGAGTCATTGGAGGCGACAAAAGGGGAACCTGGTGCCTGGAGGTATAACTGGGCCACCCTGTACCTAGGGGATACAAATACGGGGATCTGGCCATGTTGATTGGGGGAGTCTCGAATCTGAGATGGTAAAATGTGGTCATGAGTTCCGCCGGACTCGGACCTGAGAACGATTGCGCTGGCGAGACGAGCAGCAATTGTAAACGACAGACCCATCCTCTCGTCGGCAAGGATGTTACATAAGGACTACGACCGGAAGTCTTCAGGCGAAAAAAAAAACTGTTCGTCGTTAGTTTCATGGGGCTTGTCGCCAAGATGAACTGACTGGCGGTAAACCGCCAATCGTGAAGTAACTTTGACTCTGATACCCATTAGCAATTAAACGCAAATATTAAATTAACCCTCAACAAAGGAGTAATTAGATCATTAATGACTTATGCTTGCCCCACCTGGGAATTTGCGGGACACAGCAACCTTATGAAACTGTAGCGTTTGCAAAACAAGGCTCTCCACACCATCGGCAAATTTCCAAAGTGCACAGCTGTCTGCCAGTTGCACATGGCTTTCCAATTACAGTGTAGTTATAATTATACAATGAAACTGTGCAGGCAATAAGCAGAGGTCATACAAAATCACGAAAATGCAAATGTTCGCGACATCGGAAAACGCGAAGCCAACGCAGAAAATGTAACAGGCTTCAACTTGGCGGCGGTCAAGCGTACGACCGTTCAAGTGACTAGAAGCCGCTGTAAACTACATAAGTTGGGCCATAGTCTGCTGTGAAAAGCCTAGACTAACACAGATCTTGTATATATTGTAGCGTGTACAGCCGTTTCTATAAAACGGCTCGGCAAACAAGTTCCCGGGAAACGGATACGCACAAATCAATGGAGGAACTGTTACAAACGGTGTTTTCTATTCGGTCTGTGAAAACGGGTTATAAGATGGTCAAATGAAGCAAGAGGAGGCAGTTGGGAGGAGCCACCGTTCAGAGAGAACCTGAGTACGGAAAAAGTGGAATAGCCATTGCTAGAAGCCGTTACAAGGAAGCGTCTAGTGAAGACAATGCTGGCTGGAAAAGACTTTAGCGTGTGCTGTAGTAATTCGTAAAGTGCGGAAATCAGCGACAGTGTTGTAGTTATTTGTAGTTACGACCTGTTAAGTGGTCAATAAATTCAATTATCTACAACCCCGCCTATAGTCACTTCATACTACGTGACAATATTACACACACATATACTACAGTTGCATGTAAAACTGTAAATAGTACGTATCCTCAAGGGGCCGGGCTCTTGAAAACTATGTAGAATACCGACATGTAAAACTGTAAATAAATATGACGTGGTACTGATTATGACAGCGGTAAATGACAGACCCGTCCTCTCGTCAGAGAGGGCATCCCACATCGACAAAACCGCAACTCTGTGACCCAATAAAAATCTGGTTTTGTGGCCCCCGATGGGGCTCGATACCACGTATGACTTGTGACAGACCGTCGGTCGTAACGTGACTTTGATTTTTTGATTTTCATCCCGTGTGGAAACTACGGGGCAACAAATTACCTGTAGCTCCTCCGCAGAAAGCCGGACCCCTCCCCTAGTCGAATTGGAGGCCTCATTTCACAAACACGTACATGTCTAGGAGGGGGAAAAATGTAAAAAGTTTCGACGAACCCTGAAGCAAAGAATGACTGTGCTAGCGAAGGCTTGCAGCAATTTAACAGGCCGACTGATCGATCCCCATGTGGAGACAAGTTGGAATACTTCCACTGTAGACCTGAGAGACGCACAAGGTGACAAAAGGGAATCCGGTATCTGGTAGTATAACTGGGCAACCCTATGACTAGGGGACACAAATGGTGGGGCCTGGTCTTCCAGGTTGGGGGTTGAGACTGAAACCTCCCCGAGTCGTCGGAAAGCAAAATATGTCATGAGTTCCATGGGACCTGGAATCAAGAATCACTGTGCTGGCGTGGACCAGCAGTAATTATCATCCAGTTGTGGACCGAGTGGTCTGTGGTGCAACAAATGTAGCGCCTATATAGAAAGACAGAACCCCTCACCTCGGCGAAGAGGAGACCCCACTTCTAGAACCCGTACATGTCTAGGAGAGAACAAAAATCTTGGTCATGGATTTCCACGAGACTCGAAGCCAAGAATGGCTGTGCAGGTGATGACTAGAAGTAATTTAAACGACCAACAGACAAGCTACTTAGCACAGCACAGTGAGAAAGGGTGCACAGAGTCCGCTGTCGCAGCGCGGATATGCTCGTCCTGAACCTACACGTACGGTGCAAAAACGCAGCACATGAACAAAAATAGTATTGACCCTTCCATTTCTAAACACGTACACAGGAGATAACAAACATCATGACCATGGTTCTCGAGGAGACCTGACGCCAGAAATGACTGTGCTGGCGAAGCCAGCGGCACTTTAACCGACCGACCGAGGGAGAAGTCTTGGAACCAAGATTCACTGTACTGGCGAGGACAGTGAGTCAGTCCTGCTGGAAGCCAGTCTCGAATATCTGACAGTAAAATACGTTCTACTCGGGGAGGGGGAAGGGGAGGCTCGGAACTAAAAATGATTGTACTAGCGAGGACCGGCAGCAATTTACGACAGGCAGGCAATCCAGTCGTTTTGAGCTGCACTGTTAGTAGCCGCTACCTAGCAATAACTAATGAACAGAAAACTTTATGAGTGCTATAGTTGCAGTGATCTACAGAGTGCGTAAATCAGCGAGACCATTATAGTTATTTGCAGAGTATAAGTGTTCAAGACATCTGCTGTAACGGAAGCCAAAGCTCCAACAGTATGGCCACTATGGCCACCGAACATCGTTACTGGAGCCTGTACTACGCCAACACAATGCAGTTCACATTCCCATTTCCACATGCTGTACGAGGCACGGTAACTCGAGTTATCACATATATTGTTAAAAATACCTTTACCATGAAATTCCGCTTTGCCATCTCTGGTTGGCCTATCCTGGGTCTGTAGGCTCGGCAGCGCCACATATTCGCATGTAGAAGTGTCCTGAAAAATAAAGGAGGCAATTTTAAATAAAAGAAAGGCTGGAATCGATGCAGATTCTTGGTGAGCAGATATGCACGGCACCAGCACAGATAGCCTCTGCTGCTCCATACTGGCTCATTACAACTCTACTTCACACGAAGCTCAAACCAAACTTAAACAAGTTTCTCACAAACAAATCACAATGGAAACAATCTGTGCATATTATTAAGATTTATAGCTTTCACTTTAAGTATTGTTTGATTCGGCGAATGGCCAACCAAATAAAGAAGACAATATTTGACTCTACGCACTGTCATATCTATAACACCATAAATAAGCAAGAGATTTCGATTTTTGCATAGGAACTTGTTTCCTCACGTTACATCCATTTTCCATTTACACTAGCACAAATGGCTCCACCAAGGCTTTAACATCATTTGGGATACAGCGCTTTTAACAAATCCTACAATCCGGTGGTTCTGCAACTTTTCTGCCCCACTGACTGGCAAAATGCCTGGGGGCTTTCCGAGGATAAGTACCCTCCACATCTCGCAACGTTAAGTACAAATAAGAGACTATAAATCTACACATTACTATCATACCTAAACATGTTTATTTACAAGATCAAAATAACGCGTTTGTGCGGTAATAAAATTGAAGACATGTCTACAATCACCAAGTTTGTACACTTATAATTAAATATCACGCGTGAAGGCATCTGCAGTAACTTAATTTGTCAGGAATGTGTGTGATCAAAGGACCTGGGCTTCGTAACATGGCTGTGGGTCCCCATTTTCAAGGAGTGCAACGAACAACTTTAGAATTTGAGGTTTGAGGTTTTTAAGGCGGTGACTATGAAGAAAGCAGTCTTCTGGGATGTGGCGCTGTGTAGATATTGTTAACCGATGTTTCGGAAGAACGTATCGCCTCCATCTTCAGGGTAGAAGAAAAAATAAGAAAATCCGCGAGCGAGGAACCAGATTTCCTTCTTTTTCCTTCTACCCTGAAGATCGAGGCGATACGTTCCTCCGAAACGTCGGTTAATACAATATCTAGACGGCGCCACATCCCAGAAGACTGCTTTCTTCAACTTTGGAATTGTGTCCTCTTTCTCGCTAATATGCTGGATACAACACTAAATGCCACTCAAATTTGGTGCTAACACAGACCCCGAAAAACGGCTCTGCTAGTAAAACTGATAACTTGTGTTCAAATACATACAAGGCAGCATAATTCCAGCTAGAATCTGCTGACCAGAGCTGCGAAACATTGCTCGAATCAGTAATTCATACACATAGGACTTCATTTTAGGAAATGAGTTAATTCACGTTTTGTGCATTCTTTCCATAAAATGAATGTACAACAGGGAGCTCGCATGACTCATCTCTGAAACAAATTAACAGTACATACTGTCCATCTAAACTAATATTTATGTGGTTATACACGCTGCACAACATCTAGTACCCACGACTTTAAGAACGGACTGATCATTTTCCCGATCTGTGATTTGTATCGGTAAGTATGAGCACTAATACGTTTCATACAAGTACCTGTACTAAACGGAAATCCAAGGAAACGGATACTTGGTTAAGTTGGGATACCTTTGTATACATGATCGTGTACGCTCGCACACTCAGACATATACTGTCCCATTCTTTGAAACTAAACTACGCTCCAAATAATAACAAAAAAGGCAAATAAGTATACTCCACCTTATCACTGGAAGCACACGGTAGTGTAGTTGCTTGAGGCACTATGCTACAAGCCAAAAGGTCGCGGGTTTCATTCCCCATGAGGTCACTGAACTTTATAATTGACCTAATCCTTCCAGCCGCACTACGGGCCTGGGTTCGACTCAGCCTCTTAACAGAAACGAGTACCAGGACTCTTCCTGGGGTAAAGGGCGGCCGGAGCTTAAGGCCGAATCTCTAGAAAATGTGGGAGCCTCGATGTCTCACAACCCAATGGGCTTCCAAGGCCTGTTACAGGTATACTCACTCACTCATTCATGGAGCTCAGCCCTTCTCGGGAAGCCGCCAATTGTGCAGCTACTCAAGAATTTCCTAGCATTTTATGGAACTAGGAGGTTCAATACCGTGTTCACAAGATCCGTCCACTCGTCCTTATCCTGAGCCAGATCAATCCAATCAATATCATCCCATGATATCCCTCTAAGATCCATTTTAATATTGTTCACCCAAGTACGCCTTGGTCTTCCCAGTGATCTCTTTCCTTCTGGCTTTCCAAATATCTTATATGAACTCTTCTTCTCCCCCATTCGTGCTATATGCCCTGCCCACCTCATCCTCCTTGACTTGATCATTCTGATTATACTTGGAGAAGAGTACAAGCTATGAAGCTCCTCATTATGCAGTTTTCTCCAACCTTCAGTCACTTCATCTCTCGTCCAAATATTCTCAACACTCTGTTCTCATAAACCCTCAGTCTATGTTCTTCCCTTAATGTCGGAGACCAAGTTTCACGCCCATACAGAACCACAGGCAAAATTATAGTTTTGGATATTCTAATTTTTGTTTTTGGACTGTTACGGGGATATCTTTGCTTTTTCTCAACCACCTTATGACTTGGTAGATTCTAAAGGGTTCTGACGATAGTGGATAACACACAATTACTGGGGGTTTGGACTTTTCCATCGTCCTCATGACTTCACTTTCATAAGGGTACGTAACACTATCACAGCACATCCTGTCTACCGCTGTCTACAGTGTCCGTCTCTGGTATTTGTTATTCGAGATGGGAACCACCAGAAACAACGTCGCTATGCCGGGTATCGGGTTCAAGATTTCAGAGAAGCAACAGACGATAGCTACTCTCCGCGAGTTGACCGTGAGAAAGCAAAAGTTCGTTAATCTGGTTCGCCGAACTACAGTAACTGGAATGTCGCCAGGGCTTTAGGGTACGGGAAGTTCAGCAAGGGGCTTAGACCGCCATCAACTAACTTTCCCTCATGCAGCTCAGTTATCCAGTCAAAAATCAACGGATTTTGTACTTTGTCTATCGTCCGGTATTCTAGAAACTAGAAAACACAACGTTTCGGAAACTGCATCTGTTTCCGTCCTGAGGTGAGGGGGCGACGGCCCCTACTCAGTTGGGTCCTTTAGAAACGGCTACCCTCAATCACTGGATTGAGGTTAGTCACAGCAGTGGTAATGACAGTTCTATCTTGTGGGATAAAACACTGAGTAGTCAGTCAAGGAGGGAATCAGCATAACAAAGCTCTGCTTTGCTTTCTGTCTGCTTCATGCAAATTTCTTGCTTGGCTTACACTATGACCCTAAAGATGGTGACGATGTGTTCCTCCCAAACACTGCTGACTTTTAAAGCACTACACGGCGTTATACCACAGATGATAGGACTCGTCGTTATGGAGTTACGTAACAGTAAAACCCATCCTCGGACACGGTCCTAAGCCAGTTCCATCCATCTTCCAAATCTCTACAACTTCCCTGGTAGTAAAACCCGAAGGTTCACCACCCTAATGCATCAAAGCCTAGATACTGAGCAGTTTCTGAGCAAATTTTCCTATCAATTCTAGTCTCTTCCTTCGGAATTAATGTCCGGCCCACTGTAACCCGATTTCACAATGGTAACAATACTAGCTGATCCATAAATAATAAAAGCCCCTCACGCAATGTTCTGATTCACAATATCTCGCAAACATAATCCTAGTCTCCGTCAGGAAGTGAAAGACTTTTAAACTACCAAAACAAATTCTCTTCAAGCTAAACACAACCGATGATGCGGAGACGGCGGGAGACGGCAAATCAAGGGACTCAAAGCAAGGCAACAATGGTTGTTGTAAGGTAGTACATTTTATACCATATCAGACGGAGGCACACATCCGTCCGTCGAGATTGAACACAAGGATATGATAAGAATGGACGAGAATAGTCTATCTCATAAGAAAAACGTAAAGTTTTCCCTCTGCACTCTTCCGTGAAGACATATGGGTGAATGGAGGTTGAGCTCCACCATTCTTGACCTCAACACTAGATGGAGGTTAACCGTCAGTTTCACGCCCCGGCCACATTACCCTCAGAGAAACAGCTCCCGGCACCAGATGTAAAAGAGGCTGGATGAACCCCAGAGTCGGTATCGACACTGTAGAGAGAAATCTCGTGCCCCTGCTGAGAATCGAACTCAGGCCGTTCAGCCCCTAGCCAGTCGCTATACCGACTGAGCTGTCTTGTTTTACCTTTAGGAAAATGAGAGACAACAGCGATAAAGGTGTACAATGGATGTGGACATTTGGTTACATAACAGGGCTAATTCACAGCCGGTGATGTCGCCGGTTCCATGTGGCCTCTAGGCTGGACAATTAAGAAATCGGGATTTGAATCCCTGTAGGGATAAGAGATTTTTTATTTGCCCGTAATGTCCAGAGGTTCACCCAGCCTCGTATACAATAGGTACCGGGAGCTGTTTCCCGAGGGGTTAAGCTGACCACTCACTTCAATCTGGTGCCGAGATCAAAAATGGTGGAACTATACCTTCACTCCCCATACCATTTCATGGCATCTCAAATAGTTTAAAATTCTGTACTTGTTACAACGCCACACAGACACAGAAATATGGGTTTCATGGCTGAGGTTCCACTCCCGACCTGTTGAGATTTTTCTGTTCGCCACCTCAGCCTCTATTTTCCCTTCAAGATTTCAGGGCAAAATGCACAGATGCAGGGGAACTGTACCTTTAACTTAAGGGCCTTTTAGCACTCTAATTATCATCAGTCTATTATAAAATGCCAAATATTGCGCTTTCTGCATAACCGACGATTATTATTTTGAAAAGAGTATTAATATTATATATTAATCGATGTGGCAGGCTGGTTGATGCACTCTGCTACAAGTCGGAAGGTCGCGGGTTCGATTCCCGACGAGGTCATTGGAGTTTTCAATTGACCTAATCCTTCTAACCGCGCTAAGGCCCTGGGGTGGACTCAGCATCTAACAGAAACGAGTACCAGAAATCTTCCTGTGGGTAATGGGCGGCCGGCGCGC